AAGATTTTCATATACAGGCTTCCATACATTTTTTATTCGCTCGTACACCGCTTTCCTCAACATGTACGAAACGGTGACATTTTGGGCTTCCAACTACATTAAATCTAATTGGTAATTAGTTATTATATTCACAAAAAGCATATATGTACTCAGTTCTTTCAAAAATGCTCGGGAATATGCTAAATCGTTGATGAAAACAAAAAGTTCAGCACGGTCAGCTGACATTGTACTCATCGACTGATTGGCAACGACGGAACAAAACGTCGTGACTAGTTGAAGCGGAAAATAAGTTATAATCGCAATAATTTAACATTACTATATGAATTTTTATATCAAAATGTGCAATATTTACTTACCGCGGTCAAAATGACAAAGCAATGAAGCGTCGTCTGCATTTGCCAATTTGGAGTTATCGCCCTTTCAGAGCTCTTCATGTCTACGGCCGCCCATACGTGCCAGCTAGACTCCGTCTTAAAGCTACACATTTGCAACCAGAATTAAAGCATTTTCCCCTTTGTCGATTTTTGTCGATTTTTTATATGTTTTTTAAGATATGATAAACTTAATTATTACAGTAAAACTTTCTGTTGCAATTAGTTTGTGGTTTATCATCAGGTGACTAGACTAATAACCATGTTTTATTGTAAATGTATCTTGCTGTGACATTTGAATAAATCTTCATAAATTGTGACAGTACATTTAAAACTTAACCTGTCTTTACTAGCAGGTTGTGTTAAACAAGAGGCACAGAGTGCCTGTATTGTTACCTGGATATTTTAGCAATCATGGCAAAAGATCCTCAATGAAAGTAGTATTGCAATAATCCCTTTTTGTCCCCTCTTTTGTTCACTATTGAATCCCCACCACCTGAGAATACTTCTAGCCATATATGGTTGATATCCAACTAACGTTTCAGAGAAGTTGCTTAAAGCAAGTGGGGTCAGCAACTCCATTAGCACAATTTTGATTCCCAACCACCTATGCCAGATATCTATCTGTTGTGTTTCCGAGAAAAAGCTGCTTTAAGCAATATGGCCAAATTACCCCCTTTTTGCCCCGCCCTCCAGTCCCTTGGAGTGTCAGCTCCTCCATTTGTACAATTTTAATTCCCATCACCTAGTGATGCTTCCAGACAAATCCGATTAAATTCCAATCAGCAATTATGAAGAAGTTAATGAAGAAATTGTTGAGGACTGAGTTCACCTTGATCCTTTGGACCAGGTGAGCTAAAAACCGAACAGGAGTGATTTCTGGTTTCTGGCAGTCCTATTTTTAATCTAATTGAGCTTTTTGAAGCTCAAAATGAAATTTGCATGACTATAATATAGGGAGAACCTACTTTAGAAATTTGAGAAAGACAATTTATGTACTTTAATCCTAGAAACCATTTTTGAAATATTGGTTAATTTTCCCTTTGGGGCCCCGCCCTGGCCCCAGGGGATGGGGTAGGAATCTCAATTTTACAATTTGAAACCATCTTCCTCCAAGGATAATTCTCACCAAGTAAAAAATAATTTCCTACAGAAAGTTGTCAAAATATACCCAAAAGTGTTATTTCCCTATATAAACTATAGTCAACTTTACCCCCTCCCCAAGGGAGAACAGATAGCTCGGGGGTCCTGAAATTTACAATTTAAGTAAAGCCCCTGATGATCTTTCTTTCCATGTAGAGAAAATGAGTGTAGTATCTCTGAGTCTGAAGAAGAAGTTTTTGAAATATTGGTTAATTTTCCCTTTGGGGCCCCGCCCTGGCCCCAGGGGTTGGGGTAGAAATCCCAATTTTACAAATTTGTAGCCTCATCTACCAAGGATGATTCTGACCAAGTTTGAAAAAATCCATCCACTGGTTCTTGAGAAAAAGTTGAAAATGTAAAAAGTTTACGCACGACGCACGACGGACGACGGACGGAAAGCGATTAGAATAGGTCACTTGAGCAAAGCTCAGGTGACCTAAAAACAGCGCTAACAAACTAACTCTCAAATTCAAGATTGCTGCCTGTCGACCATTTTGGTTTTGTCATCAGTCCCAAAAAATGATATGCATAACTAGGGATCATGGAATACCTTTACGTGAAATTTGAGAAAGATCCTTCTCATATTGGTAATAGCACTAACAAACTTTAACTCTAAAATTTAAGATGGCTGCCTGTCGGCTATCTTGGTTTTGTGATCAGTCCCAAAAATTGATATGCATACCTAAGGATCATGAGATCCTTCATGTGAAATTTCAGAAAGATCCCTCCAGCACCTTCGGAGGAACAGCACTAACAAACTTTAACTATCAAATTCATGTAGCTGTCTGTCTGCCATCTTGGTTTTGTGATCAGTCCCAAAAAACGATATGCATTATAATTACTAAGGACAATGGGGAACCTATATGTGAAATCTGAAAAATATCCCTCCAATACTTTATGAGAAAAAGCGCAAACAAACTTTCATTCTCAAAATCAAGATTGCTGCCTGTCAGCGATTTTGGTTTTGCAATCAGTCCCAAAAAACAAAATGCATACCTAGGAATCATTGGTAACATTCCTGTGGAATTTGAGAAAGACCCCTCCAGTACTTTCTATGAAATAGCACTAACAAAAATTGTTTAAGGACAGACCGAGTCACGGAATGACGGACGGAATGACCACGGATGCAGGGTTATTTGAATAGCCCACCATCTGTTGATGGTGGGCTAAAAATCTAAATGAAACAAAAAAACAAACACTCATGCAATTCTCTACAATGACAACTAGAACAAATTCAATGGTTTTGTATGACATTTTAATAAATCAATTGAGTTATATGCCTTTATCAAGCACATACGAACAGACAATTTGAGCCACTCTGCCCTTGCTCTATAGCGAATATGTGTGGATAGGTCAACTTCCTCGACCTGTACATAGTAGTCGGGGACTTGTGCTGGTCAACACCTTAACAGTTACACTTAACAATAGAAATAGGAAAATTACAATATTTCCACCAAGTGGGTTCATCATACATAAATCTACTAAAGGATGGATTACAGTTTAATATCCCATACTGCATTGTGGTATAGTATCCCATACTGTATTGTGGTATAGTATCCCATACTGTATTGTGGTATAGTATCCCATACTATATTGTGGTATAGTATCCCATACTGCAGTGTGGTATAGTATCCCATACTGTATTGTTGTATAGTATCCCATACTGTATTGTGGTATAGTATCCCATACTGCATTGTGGTATAGTATCCCATACTGCAATGTGGTATATTATCCAATATTATATTGTGGTAAAGTATCCCAAATTGCAGTGTGGTATAGTATCCCATACTGTATTGTGGTATAGTATCCCATACTGCAGTGTGGTATAGTATCCCATACTGTATTGTGGTATAGTATCTCATACTGTATTGTGGTATAGTATCCAATACTGTATTGTGGTATAGTATCCCATACTGTATTGTGGTATAGTATCTCATGATGTGGATAACAGTATAGTGTCCTTAACTGTATTACAGTATTGTATCCCATGATGTGGATTACATTATAGTTACATTTCCTATGGTGAGGATTATAATACAGTAAAGTATCCCATGGTGTGGATTACATTACATAAAAGTATCCCATGGTGTGGATTACATTACATTAAAGTATCCCATTGTGTGGATTACATTACATTTTAGTAACCTGGATTACATTACAGCAAAATATCTGATGGTTTTGATTACAGTACAGAAAAGTTTCCCATGGTATGGATTGGGTCAATTATATTAAATCGCACCATAATGATAACTTTAAGTATTACAGGATGTGGATTATATTAAAGAATGTCATAATGTAGATTACAGTAAGGTCTCACATGATGTGAATGGCACTAAATCAAATACAGTGTTTAAGTGAAATATCACATCATGTGTTAATTTGCACACAATGTGGATACAGGTAACCCAGGTGTGTTAGTGGATCTACACATTGAATACATGAAACACATGTGTAATATACAGAGTAACAATACATGTGTATACAGGTAACCCAGGTGTGTTAGTGGATCTACACAATGAACACATGAAACACCTGTGTAATATACAGTGACAACACACGTGGATACAGGTAACCCAGGTGTGTTAGTGGATCTACACAGTGAATACATGAAACACCTGTGTAATATACAGTGACAACACACGTGGATACAGGTAACCCAGGTGTGTTAGTGGATCTACACAGTGAATACATGAAACACCTGTGTAATATACAGTGACAACACACGTGGATACAGGTAACCCAGGTGTGTTAGTGGATCTACACAGTGAATACATGAAACACCTGTGTAATATACAGTGACAACACACGTGGATACAGGTAACCCAGGTGTGTTAGTGGATCTACACAGTGAATACATGAAACACCTGTGTAATATACAGTGACAACACACGTGGATACAGGTAACCCAGGTGTGTTAGTGGATCTACACAGTGAATACATGAAACACCTGTGTAATATACAGTGACAACACACGTGGATACAGGTAACCCAGGTGTGTTAGTGGATCTACACAGTGAATACATGAAACACCTGTGTAATATACAGTGACAACACACGTGGATACAGGTAACCCAGGTGTGTTAGTGGATCTACACAGTGAATACATGAAACACCTGTGTAATATACAGTGACAACACACGTGGATACAGGTAACCCAGGTGTGTTAGTGGATCTACACAGTGAATACATGAAACACCTGTGTAATATACAGTGACAACACACGTGGATACAGGTAACCCAGGTGTGTTAGTGGATCTACACAGTGAATACATGAAACACCTGTGTAATATACAGTGACAACACACGTGGATACAGGTAACCCAGGTGTGTTAGTGGATCTACACAGTGAATACATGAAACACCTGTGTAATATACAGTGACAACACACGTGGATACAGGTAACCCAGGTGTGCTAGTGGATCTACACAGTGAACACATGAAACACCTGTGTAATATACAGTGACAACACACGTGGATACAGGTAACCCACGTGTGCTAGTGGACTACACAGTGAATACATGAAACACCTGTGTAATATACAGAGTGACAACACACGTGGATACAGGTAACCCAGGAGTGCTAGTGGATCTACACAGTGAACACATGAAACACCTGTGTAATATACAGAGTGACAACACACATGGATACAGGTAACCCACACAAAGTGGAGTTTTTAAGAAACTGTTAAACTGTAGTTTTTTTAATACAGAATTCAGAGACATTCTAACTTCAAATATTATTCACTGTTCAAGTTGGAAGCTAGACATGTTCTATATAAAGAATGATAAATGACTATGTGTAACTATTATGTATGCCCCAGTACAATGTCAGACCTTCATAAAACAATATCACACAATCAAGCAGTAACTTGTCCAAATAGTGGTTCATATTTATGATATAATAGTAACTAGTTATAATGAAAAAAGCTTAAATTATGAAACGGCCAGTAAAATCATCCCTCAACCTTTCAGTGAGAGATGTTAATTGACTCTATGACAAGAAAGCACTTGGATTACAAAAAAATAAAGACCACACACTGGAAACAGGGCTTTAAAGGCCGAAAACCACACAGCTATCAACATAACTATCATACGCGGTGAAGCAATCTGTACAGCTCTTTTGCATCAACATGGTGCAGTACAAATGTTCACATCAAAAACAGTACATAACAAACTTAGTATCTACTCCCTCACATAAAATGGTATGGCACCAAATCTCATTGAAATCAGTATAACATAAACTCTTATCTCCCTCATCATAACAGTGCAGCACAACCTATCTCCTCAAACCAGCACAATACAGCACAACTCTATAGAAAGTATCGCCTTTACACAAAACAGCACAGTAAAACAACAACAACCTGTTACCCTTACACAACAAAAAGCACAGTACAGCACAACTCTGTACAACCTCTCTCCCTTATATAGTACAATATTTTACAACCTCTCCCCCTTACTCAGTACACCCTCTCTCCCTTACACAGTACACCCTCTCACCCTTACTCAGTACAACCTCTCCCCCTTACTCAGTACAACCTCTCCCCCTTACTCAGTACAACCTCTCTCCCTTACTCAGTACAACCTCTCTCCCTTACTCAGTACAACCTCTCTCCCTTACTCAGTACAACCTCTCACCCTTACTCAGTACAACCTCTCTCCCTTACTCAGTACAACCTCTCTCCCTTACTCAGTACAACCTCTCTCCCTTACTCAGTACAACCTCTCTCCCTTACTCAGTACAACCTCTCTCCCTTACTCAGTACAACCTCTCTCCCTTACTCAGTACAACCTCTCTCCCTTACTCAGTACAACCTCTCTCCCTTACTCAGTACAACCTCTCTCCCTTACTCAGTACAACCTCTCTCCCTTACTCAGTACAACCTCTCTCCCTTACTCAGTACAACCTCTCTCCCTTACTCAGTACAACCTCTTTCTCTTACTCAGTACAACCTCTCTCCCTTACATAGTACAACATTGTACAACCTCTCTCCCTTACATTGTACAACTATGTACAACCTCTCTACATTACTCTGTACAACCTCTCTACATTACTCTGTACAACCTCTCTCCCTAACACAGTACAACTCTGTTCAATCTTTCTCCCTTACTCAGTGCAACCTCTCTCCCAAACACAACACAACTCTGTACAACCTCTTTTCCTAACACAACACAACTCTGTACAACCTCTTTTCCTAACACAGCACAACTCTGTATAACCTTTTCCCCTTTCTCAGTACAATATTGTACCATCCCTTTCCCATACACAGCACAACCATCTATAACTTCCCTCCCTAACACAGTACAACTGTCTATATACCTCTTTCCCCAACACAACACAGCTCTCTACAACCTCTCTCCCTTACTCAGTACAACCTCTCTCCCCGACACTGTACAACTCTCTACAACCTCTCTCCCTAACACAACACAGCTCTGCACACCTTTGCCTCACATCATCACAGTAAAACACTTGTACTCCTCAACATTCGCTGCAGTCACAACATGTATATCATACTACCAATATACACGTATCTGGTAACCATCATATGGTCCATGATCCATATACAGATAAAATGGCCCAGAGAAAGGTTTAACATGCACACCCCATATACATTCTGACCAAGTTTTTATATATATGGCCCATGGTCTATATAAGTACATCAGAGCAAACCACAGATACATGATACAGACCATACACATCTAATAAACAACATCATCTGACCAACAATATACGCACCATACAAGCGTAAAATTAAGGTCAAACATATAAAATATGGATCATACACTATTTTACTTAATGTACAATTATAATAACACAACTTACATTAACTAACAATCTGAAATTTTATCATATTGTATTTATATATATATATATAAATTTATATATATTATGCAAGAATATTTAAGCAATTCAATAATTTTCCTAGTAGGCTCAGCATTAATAAGTTTACAAACATTTACAGTTAACCTTAAAAGAGTACTTGTAACCCTTTGGCCTCATCAATGTCCCTCTTACAGACACTGTCGCCTGAATCATTGATAAAAACCACATCGGGTTGTTTTGATAACAGACAGACTACATATAGGGCCTGTTATAATAAGACAACATAATTCTGAGTGATCGGACAGACCATCTGACAATGCCGACTCAATCAGAGACAGACCATGTGATCCCACCAGCCCAATACCACACAATATTGTCGGCCTGATCAGACTGACAACATGACAGAGACAGACCATGTGATCCCACCAGCCCAATACCACACAATTTTGTAGGCCTGATCAGACTGACCACATGACAGAGAGAGACCATGTGATCCCACCAGCCCAATACCACACAATATTGTAGGCCTGATCAGACTGAACACATGACACTGTAACTGTAGGTAAAATAGGCCGCTACCGATTACTTAGACTACATGGTGCTGTATTCCAAATCATCAACAGAACATACAATGTTGTCCCAAAAATAGACAGATCGCATTGTACTTCAGCTTTATCAAATGATATTCAAACTTGATTATCTGATGGACCACATGGTGCCGTAACTTGATCTTATGATAGACCACATGGTACCGTAACTTGATCACATGGCAGACCATAGGGTGCTGTAACTAGATCATGTGACAGACCACATGATGCTGTAACTAGATCACATGGCCATTTGAATTGATAGACCATAAGGTGCTGTATCTTAATGTGACAGACCACATGGTGCTGTAAATGGATTATGTGACAGTCAAAGTGATACTTAAACGAGACCATTTGATAGCCCGCCCGGTGTCGTAACTTGATCATGTGACAGACCCCATAGTGCTGTAAATGGATTATGTGACAGTCAAAGGGATGCTTAAACGAGACCATTTGATAGACCACACCGTGTCGTAACTTGATCATGTGACAGACCACACGGTGTCGTAACTTGATCATGTAACAGACCACATGGTGTCGTAACTTGATAATGTGACAGACCACATGGTGTCGTAACTTGATCATGTGACAGACCACATGGTGTCGTAACTTGATCATGTGACGGTCAAAGTGATGCTTTAACGAGACCATTTGATAGACCACATGGTGTCGTAACTTGATCATGTGACAGACCACATGGTGTCGTAACTTGATCATGTGATAGACCACACGGTGTCGTAACTTGATCATGTGACAGAACACATGATGCTGTTGTCAGTTTAGATATCTATAAAATGGCTCCCTGGCCATACACATACCACATATATCAAACAGGCCAAGAATTTCCAGTGGTCAGGTACACACTACATTAACATTAAAAATGACTAGCTGCCAGGCGCCCTGATCCACTTGACCGCTTGACCAGGCAGTAGAATACTGGACACCATAGTGATGATTGATTTGGTTGCAGATTTTGTACATTCCAACTCCCTCTATATTACTTATGCAACTTGAAATAGTGATTTAATTTTGATATTTTACCAAGCTTCAGCAGGCAAAAGATAGAGTAAGCCTGAATACACGGTCTGTTGACATAAATATTACCTTCTGAAGAGATCAACACATGTTGACATTGAACATTATATGTTCTATAGCCAAAACAACATTTGTAGACTTAACCATTATGTATTTAGTAATCAACACCCTTCAGAGATTCCAGTGGTCAAATGAAAGCTTGTTGACATAAATTTTAAATGTGATCCTTTATCGGAAGAGCCTGAAATACTTTGTATGCAAATATTGCAACAATCAGATATCCCTCGGATGTAATTTATTATTCCATAATAACTACTTATGTTCCTAGTCTACGAGCAAACTCTATGTTTTGGTCACAATTAAAAGCATGTCAATATACAGAGGCAGTTCTGAATTCACAATCACTGATTTTGAACACGTACAAAATAAATATGAACATCATATGACTCTTTCCTTTGGGTTTGGATTACATTTGTGTGAATAGCAAGCTATTGTAAATTAGCGATCTTTGGTGTCAGATTTTGTTCCATGGTCAGTTAAGTGCAGTCAATTAAAAAAAACCATTGCATTACAATACATTATATCTATAAATAGTTCAAACTTCACATCCTGCAAGAGTTGCTCCCCTTGACAATAGTTAAATAAAAACAGAATATTAAACATTACGGCAAATATTGTGTAATTTTCAAAGCAAGTTGATTAATAATTATGTATATTTAATTCTTACAATTAAAATTGGCATGGTTTTGCGACAGGTTACATAACATTGCAGCGGAGTGCTATAGGACGTTCACAGAAACACACATCTAGCTGCACACACAGAAACACACATCTAGCTGCATACACAGAAACACACATCTAGCTGCATACATTCCTTAAATATTATCGAAATTTAGTATGCAACCTTTTTTTCCACAAATTGATAAGTTAAAAGGATGAAATCACTAAACTTCCAATCTGAGTCAGTAGATTTAACAGTCAAAGGTAGCAATATTTGTCCTCTGTCAGTCTACCAGTTGGTCACATGCAGTGCATGTAATGGTTGTCTGTTTACATGATAGTCAAGGGTAGTTAAGCTAATTTATCCATACCCAGTTTGATGTAGATTGGAATGGATTTTTGACAATAGCTGCATTGACCACTGTCAGAGGACCTGCATCACACCTTGACCGATTACTTGACCACAAGCTGATTACAAATTGGTCAGTATCTAAACGAACCTGTCACACACTTCATAATCATAAACAAACAAGTAGTCTCATAAACAACCTGACTAGCTTATCTCCCCTTGGCTGTAGTTTCCACCAAATGATTTGTGACTTTTTACACTGGCCAACATACATATTAGTAAACGCTTTCAATTGTGTTTAACACAAATACACTGTCACTCTGCCTCTTGAAATGTCCCTGTCAGGTGAAACACTGACTTCTCCCTTCTTCTTTTGCTGATGTTACACAAAAATACTGATTACTTCCCCGTCAAAAAAGTCTCACTTCCTGTGTAAATTAAAGTAGCAATGTCTCCTCTGTCAGACTTCATCCTCACCATGGAAGAAGAATCCACATTGTTCTATCATTGTCTGTATAATCTCCGCTGGCAGTTTGGTGCCTGTCGCCATTTTGTCATATGACATGAAGTCTATACGAAGAATTGTGGGCCATAAACACAGAGCCAGATTTCTTGTGTCCATGTTGTGTGTCTCCCTATGTTGGCTTACTCTGTAACACAGAGAAGTAAGTACATAGTAAGTAAACATATATAGTATAGTAGTAATGACAATATCTTAACAGAGAAAAAACAACAGAATTATCAAGACATTTTTATTTTTTACTATGAATCAGAATTTGTCAGGATTAGAAAATATTCCTAATATGTAATCCGAAAAAATGGGTTGAGATAGTTGAATTTTAAAAATCTACCTGTGAGCTACACCCTTGAAATGTGTTCCTATTGCTACAAACATTCAGGAATGGGGCCAAATATTGACTTGTAATGAATAAAAAAAGCAGCCAGAAGTTGAAAACACATCACATTTATATTTCAATAAACAAAACACATGTGAACAGGTAGATAACTGTTTATTATTTTCATCATTATTTTGAAGAAAAAAACACCCCAGTTATCAGTAAACATTTTTCTGTATAAAATTATTTCCTCTGGTAAAACATCACCACTTGTGGATTAGACAGCAGACAACTGTCAGTAAACACATTATATAGAAATGTCAATGTTTTACTCAATATCACGATTACCTGTTTCATATGATTTAAAAGAGAATGTGTATCCTGTCCCCATGACAAATTTCAGACCTACCTGTTGAGGTGTGTAATGAAGTACTTCAACACTTCAAAGTTGACTGGGTGCAGTTTTTTCAGGACTCCTCTCAGGGCTAGAAGTCTTCCTGTTGGCATTTCTGTAAACAGCCCGACACATATCATTACAGGTGTAAAAGATAACTTTCTACCAGATAAATACGGTAAACAGCCCGACACATATCATTACAGGTGTAAAAGATAACTTTCTACCAGATAAATACGGTAAACAGCCCGACACATATCATTACAGGTGTTAAAGATAACTTTCTACCAGATAAATACGGTAAACAGCCCGACACATATCATTACAGGTGTTAAAGATAACTTTCTACCAGATAAATACGGTAAACAGCCCGACACATATCATTACAGGTGTAAAAGATAACTTTCTACCAGATAAATACGGTAAACAGCCCGACACATATCATTACAGGTGTAAAAGATAACTTTCTACCAGATAAATACGGTAAACAGCCCGACACATATCATTACAGGTGTAAAAGATAACTTTCTACCAGATAAATACGGTAAACAGCCCGACACATATCATTACAGGTGTAAAAGATAACTTTCTACCAGATAAATACGGTAAACAGCCCGACACATATCATTACAGGTGTAAAAGATAACTTTCTACCAGATAAATACGGTAAACAGCCCGACACATATCATTACAGGTGTAAAAGATAACTTTCTACCAGATAAATACGGTAAACAGCCCGACACATATCATTACAGGTGTAAAAGATAACTTTCTACCAGATAAATACGGTAAATAGCCCGACACATATCATTACAGGTGTAAAAGATAACTTTCTACCAGATAAATACGGTAAACAGCCCGACACATATCATTACAGGTGTAAAAGATAACTTTCTACCAGATAAATACGGTAAACAGCCCGACACATATCATTACAGGTGTAACTTTCTACCAGATAAATACGGTAAACAGTCCGACACATATCATTACAGGTGTAAAAGATAACATTCTACCAGATAAATATGGTAAATAGCCCGACACATATCATTACAGGTGTAAAAGATAACTTTCTGCCAGATAAATACGGTAAACAGCCCGACACATATCATTACAGGTGTTAAAGATAACTTTCTACCAGATAATTACGGTAAATAGCCCGACACACATCATTACAGGTGTAAAAGATAACATTCTACCAGATAAATATGGTAAATAGCCCGACACATATCATTACAGGTGTTAAAGATAACTTTCTACCAGATAAATATGCCATGTAGGATCTCTACTTATACCAATAAAACTTTTTCAAGCCATATTTATTCCACAATAAAAATATTTCTAGTAATAGCCCAAATCTTCCTTAAATACTGCTAGTGCTCAATCATAGAAGCAGATTGAGTCCTTTTTCTCCTTGATAATAGCCCACCTCTTCATTAGATATTTTTGTGCTGTATAATAAAATGCCCAGACTTTCAGCAAAACTGGTGAAATCAAAGTCAATGTCCGAACACAACCCATTATTTCTAAATTGCTAAAAAGAAAATAACTTTCCTCCAAAAACATACTTGTAGGATGAATTTTTTTTTAAGTAACTACAAGGGACATGAATGTTTCTTTTCTTTCTGTTATAAGCATAAAACATTCAAGAATGAGTTGAACGTATGTTATTTTGTTACATTCATGTCCTTTGTGATTTTTATTTTACATGTACTAAACTAAGACCACTAACTGTCAAAGTAATATCTTTCTGATATATGAATTCCTTGAACTATTCAAGGAAAATTTTTAAGTTATTGTATCCTAAAGGTAAATTCATTTACCCATAAATTTTTTCTCAGGAGCTTATCAATGTCAATAAAATACAATTCTGACTCTTCCTATCTCCTCTATTCATATTCCCACTTGTAGCGGACAGTTGTAGTTTTCATAATAATTCCATGACTTCCCCAATACCTTGATATACAGTCTGTACTATTTACTATTATCTGACTGGTTTTGATTTACATAGTCAGTAATCATATCTAATACAAAATATGTGTACCACATTAATTAAGAGGCCCAGATGGCCTGTATCGCTCACCTGGATATCTAAGCAATCATGGCAAAAAAATCTTCAAAGAAGATCCCAGGGATAGGGCCAGACCCCGAGACCAATCCTTGTAGGATATCTGTATTAAATTTTTTCTTGCCCAGCAATTGTATGTATTGTGGTAATGGGATGGGGATCTCAACCGTTTCCAAGTTGTGACTCAGAAACTAGGTCCCTAGGATTGCGGCCAGACCCCAGGCTCAATTCTAATATCATGACTGCATTCGTCTCTTTATGCCCAGCATTTGTATATATAGTTTTGGGGTTGGGAGCTCAACCCGTTCAAAGTTATGACCCAGGATTACATCACCAAGGGTGGGACAGACCCCAGGGCCATCCTGGAAGCATATATGCATTCGTATCTTCTTGATACTCAGCGTTCGTCTCTTTATGCCTAGCAATTGTATATTTAGTTTTGGGGTGGGGATCTCAACTGTTTCAAAGTTATGGCCAATAGACTAAGTCTCCAGGGTGGGGCCTGACCCCAAGGGCCATCCTGGAAGCATATGTGCATTCATTGCCTTATACTCAGCAATTGTATATATGGCCATAGGGTGGGGATCTTAACCATTTTCAAGTTATAAACTATTTTTGGCCCCACCCCTTTCAGCCTGTCCATTTGTTTAATTGTTAATCCCCACCACGTAGGGATGCTCCCAACAAAATATGGACGCTACCAGTCAAATATGGTTGATATCCATCGCTTAGTTCCAGAGAAGAAGTCGCTTAATAGCAATATATAGCTAAATTACTCTTTTTGGACCCGCCCCTCAGCCCCCAGGGGAGTCAGTCCCACCATTTGTACAATTTTGAATCCCCACCACCCAGTCAAATATGGTTGATATCCATTGCTTAGTTCCAAAGAAGAAGTGGCTTAAACCAATATAGCCAAATTACACTTTTTCGCCCCGCCCCTCAGCCCCACCATTTGTACAGTTTTGAATCCCCACCACCTAGGGATGCTACCAGTCAAATTTGGTTTATATCTGTTGCTTAGTTCCAGAGGAGAAGTCGCTTAAACCAATATAGCCAAATAACCCTCTTTGGCCCCTCCCATCAGCCCCTCCATTTATACAATTTTGAATCCCCACCTCCCATGAATGCTTTCAACTAAATATAGAGATATCTAGTGCATAGCTCTAAGGAAGAGGTCGTTTATAGCAATATATAGCCAAATTGACCCCCTTTTGGCCCCGCCCCTCAGCCCTACCATTTGTACAATTTTGAATCCCTACCACCTAGGGATGCTTCCAGTCAAATTTAGTGAAATTCAAATCAGTAGTTAAGAAGTCATTTGAAGAAATTGTTGATGCACGGACGAACGCCTCAGTATGGCATAAGATCACCTTAGTCCTTTGGACCAGGTGAGCTAAAAAAAAAAAAAGTGATTTTTTTTTATTCCTACCCCCCTCCCCTGCCCCAACATTTTATCTACCAGTATTTAAATTCTTGTGCCCAGCTGAGATAGGTAATATTTTTTTTGTCTAAGATGTGATAAATGCAAATTGTACAGTTTTCATTGTTGCTAAAATGAAAGGATTTTGATACCAAGAATTGAGATAGATTTTGAGAAGCCAAGCTTTGTGACAAACACTGCTGTTGTTCATGCGAAGCTTCATAATGATCCGTCTCTCTCTACTCATTCACTACACAGTCTCCTTCTGGATATAATGTTGAAATAGGAACCTCTGGTTCTGATTTACAAGTAAAGGTGCAGAAAATATAAAATGCAAAAAGAGTAAAAGTATATAACAACAAACACCTTCAGGTTTAAATCAAAATTTAGTTTTAAGAAATGCAATCTGATATTTATTTCATTAAGTACCATTGTACCACTCGAATGATCTCCCTTAATATATATATCACAGACCACACATACAAAATAACACAATAACCTCAAACAAGAGGCCCAGAGGGCCTGTATCACTCACCTGTTTCTTTTGTTACATGAAACTGACATATATAAGTAACTTCAGACCAAATTTGGTAACTAGAACACAAGACATTTCAACATCTCTTAAACACTTCTCAAGATATTGTTGTTTGAAATTTGAAATTGTAATTTTAAAGCTTTTAACCCACTTTGACCTTTGATTCCAGCTAGCACTTAAAGTTGACATTTGACCTCATTACCGTAATAAAGAAAAAGATTCGCACTGCTGGTCTACATAACATACCCCCAAGTATCATGACTCTAGACCAAATGCGTCTTAGCATATTGTTGTTTGAGGTGGTTTTTTTTACATTTTTGACTCTGTGACCTTGAAAGTACGTCAAGGTCATTTTAAAGAGGAAACTTTATAGCACTCTATCCCTGGTACCTACTGGCCAAATATCATGACCCTAGGTCCTCCAGTTCTTCAGAAGAAGTCATTTAAAAGAAAAAGTTGCAGCCGGACGCCAGATGCTGCAGTACAACATAAGCTCACATGGCAGGCCAGGTGAGCTAAAAAACTACACAGTACTCCAAACATACCACAATATAATGTCCCCCCCCCCCCCCCCAAAATATACTATAGTGTCCTGTAATCCCTTTATCAGCTGATAATGTCTCCCCCCAAAATACTATAGTGTCCTGTAATCCCTTTATCAGCTGCCCTGCCCCCCCCAATAAGACAAGTGTCATTTTGTTGTGGAAGTCGTCTAAATAACAAAACCAACATCTGACTAAAAAACAAATCTGTAAGGTGAAAAAATGTTAAATCCTTAGAGCAGGTGCCCTTATCAAGTCAAATATGGCATATAGCAGGTAATTATTTTAAATGACACTTCAATGAATACCACCACAAGCAAGTAAAATGTACTTTTGATATACATATGTATACAATTTATCAAAGAATAGAAACCTGTTTTTTTCTGGATACTGTCTAGTGCAGATATCTAGTATAAAAACAGGTGTAAGAAGGACATCTGTACCATACTGTAGTAGTTTTTAAAATCCTATTTGAATTTATTACCTCAAACTCATCAAATCTAATCAAACAAACATCATGTTTGGCAAGATTGTGCTAATTTAAAAGCACTTGTATATTATTGACCTGATCCCCCAAAGATGAATACATTTTTGAATTCCAATTTTAACACTTTATATTAAACTTAGACACAAATGTCCGAGGACTGCCTTCATATGGCATTCACACAATTAACTGAGACATAATTTTGATTTCCAAACCCAAGAAAAATTGCCTTTTGTGAATATTACTTTCAAATCAAGCACACTAGGAAATCCAAATAGTGAGAGTTAAAAAGTCCCAAAGAACTAGACATGGACAGGTTACGATGTTAATGAAGAGCACGGCACGATCTCAGTCTAATATGAACTCAAAGGTGCAGAGAACAAACAAAGAAGCCAAGAGTTATCTCCCCTGGTCCTGTCCCTTACTACGGCACATCCCTGCATGTAAGACAAGTTTAGCCTGGAGTTTGACACCCAGCAAACCTATGTGTACTACAGTGGAGTGCCGGAGATGGGTAAGACACGGTGGAGATACAGAAAAGGAACACAGTGAGTGGCGTGTCATGCCACAGTGAATGGTTACCTTCTTGTGGGTCGTCCTCATATTTCTCTGCTAAAGTCAAAATTATAACAGTTCAGTATCCACAAAGATATTAATGGACTCTCATGTCAGGAGAAAGAAATATCAGAATCAAGAGTTTTTGTTTTATAGTACCAAGATGATCATTAACTGTATTCTAAGAGGTCAAATATTTTAAAAGCTTTCAGTACAATCTTAAACTAAGGTACTGGCACACAAAAATACAAGGTTATGTTCACTAGGGTAATTCCTCGCCACTAGGACTGATATTGCGACCCTACCTTAACCTTTCTTGGTTAATGATTTTTGAAGGTTCAAGCATATCAGAATTGCAAAATTTACTACAAAAGAAATATGTTTTAAACTGTAATTGCATGTTTTCATTACTCAGAATTGGAAGAGATCACAAGGTATACACAGGGGTGGTAACTGATTGTTGCATGTTTATCAACATTGATCTGACTTTACTAGATTGAATTATGACTAGAGCAGCTGCTCATACTGATGTTGTAGTTTGTGAAAATAACATGTAAATGATCTGACTGTCAAATAGCCTAGTTATCCAATATAAGGTTATAAAGTGTCCTTTGCTGGAATGCAGAATTGGTTATGTATACATGTGTATGCTGACAGTAAGTACACACCTGCAGCCTCCAGAAGCTCATCATGAAGGTATGAAGGAATCAATGGCTCTGTCTCATTGAAGAAGTTTTTCAATACTGTTGCTACAGCATTGACCTGTATCTCCAGGATTTTTATATCTTGAATAGGATCTACAAAAAATAATGTTCAAAACTCATAAATTGTTTTTGTTTTTGTTTTTTATCTCACAGGTCATTTCAGTCCAGACTGATTTATGTGATATTAAATATTACGTTAAATGTTCACTCATACTTTTGCACAAATGCTACACGACAGAATATTTTATAGTATATCTATCTATTGAATTGTTGTAAGTCATGAAACATTAATACATAGAGTAAACATCTCTGTTAAAATTAGATTATTTCAGACCATGGATTAATGTTCATAGGACCCGATCTCTTTGATCAGAACTGGACCCCTATAACCCTGTAGTGGGTTCCAAATATTTAAAAATCTGTTACAATTAACAGATGGATCAATGTAATCTTATCTAATGATATACTAATCTCACCTTGAACTAAAGACAGGGTCAGAAATTACACTGGGCAGATATATATGTATATACATTATGTTCATGGTCAGGTTTACAGTAAATTCTTTCACCTTGAACTAAGGCCAAGGTAAGTGGCCCTGGAGATAACGACTTACANCTTGAAGTCTCAGTTGAGCAGATCTATATTTTGTTTATTGCCAGGTATAAGGTTAATTTCTTCATCTTGAACTAAAGACAAGGACAGTTATCTTAGAGATAACGACTCACCTTCCTGAAGTTTGGAGTTGAGCAGATCTACATTTTGTTTATTGCCAGGTATACGGTATATTCCTTCTGTGTGCATTCCTGTAACAGAAAAAAATATCAGGTTACCTTCCTTACAAAAGAATTACATGTTCAATTAATTTGTGGGTTAACATCCCTTAGTTTAAATCCCTACCAACAGGTTAATCAGTTGTTTGAGCTGGTACAATGTTATGTCTGTAGCATCACCAGATCAGATACATCGTATGATCAACATTGATTTTATTTACCTAATGCTTCAAATGGGCACGAAATAATTGATTGAATTATTTTGAATTAAGTTGTTTTCTCTTATAACCAAGAATGTTTTTTTGTTGTTTTTTTAGGGATACCAGGGTTGTAGACATAAACAACGAAGTAGAAACAACAGCAGTGGGAACACCAATAAAAATGTAGACATCAGTCACATCAATCGTAACATCAACAATAACAGTTCTGCATAAAAAACGATGTAGTGTCATAAAGCCAAAGGTTAAAACATCAACCGTAGCAGGGGAAGAGGTTTTTTAATTACCAGCTGTTGATAACAATATCTCCTGCAATTTGATTGGCTGTTCAAAGTGAAACTGGTGGGAGATTACAAATATCACGAGAGTATTTTACATTTGGCATTCATGTGAGATATAAATTATTCTCTCTCCTAGCCTAAGTTGTAATTGGATTTACCAGTACCATGCACAGCTTACTTCAATACAGTCTAGGTTGTAACTGGATTAATGAGTACCATTCATAGTAACTTCTATTGAGCCTAAACTCTAACTGGATTAACGAGTACCATTCATAGTAACTTCTATTGAGCCTAAACAGTAACTGGATTTAGGAGTACCATTCATAGTAACTTCTATTCACCCTAAACTGTAACTGGATTAATGAGTCCCATTCATAGTAACTTCTATTGAGCCTAAACAGTAACTGGATTTAGGAGTACCATTCATATTAACTTCTATTGAGCCTAAACTGTAACTTGATTAACGAGTACCATTTATAGTAACTTCTATTGAGCCTAAACGGTACCTGAATTAACGAGTACCATTCATAGTAAATTCTATTGAGCCTAAACTGTAACTGAATTAACGAGTACCATTCATAGGAACTTCTATTGAGCCTAACCTGTAACTGGATTAACGAGTACCATTTATAGTAACTTCTATTGAGCCTAAACAGTAACTGGATTTAGGAGTACCATTCATAGTAACTTCTATTCAGCCTAAACTGTAACTGGATTAATGAGTACCATTCATAGTAACTTCTTTTGAGCCTAAACTGTAACTGGATTATCGAGTACTATTCATAGTAACTTCTATTGAGCCTAAACGGTACCTGAATTAACGAGTACCATTCATAGGAACTTCTATTGAGCCTAACCTGTAACTGGATTAACGAGTACCATTCATAGTAACTTCTATTGAGCCAAAACTGTAACTGGAAGGATGAGTACCATTCATAGTAACTTCTATTGAGCCAAAACTGTAACTGGAAGGATGAGTACCATTCATAGTAACTTCTATTGAGCCAAAACTGTAACTGGAAGGATGAGTACCATTCATAGTAACTTCTATTGAGCCAAAACTGTAACTGGAAGGATGAGTACCATTCATAGTAACTTCTTTTGAGCCTAAACTGTAACTGGATTAATGAGTACCATTCATAGTAACTTCTATTCAGCCTAAACTGTAACTGGATTAATGAGTCCCATTCATAGTAACTTCTATTGAGCCAAAACTGTAACTGGAAGGATGAGTACCATTCATAGTAACTTCTTTTGAGCCTAAACTGTAACTGGATTATCGAGTACTATTCATAGTAACTTCTATTGAGCCTAAACTGTAACTGGATTAACGAGTACCATTTATAGTAACTTCTATTGAGCCTAACTTGTAACTGGTCAGATTTATTTATATCCAACAGCCTATGGGTCATGACAAACTGGTTAGATTTACTTGCCTAATCTGACACCTTATGGGTCATGACAAATTGGTCAAATTTACCTGTCTAACCCGACACCCCTTGGGACATGACATATTGGTGAAATTTGCCTATTTAATTCAACACCATGTGGAACAACAGATTGATTAGTAATCGAACACCACATGGGATTCAACCTATTGGTCAG